GTTCGACACAGCCAGTTATACAAGCCACGCCCATTATACTGCTCGTTTTTCCTTTCTTACCAACTTAGCAGTCGCTTTGAAGGGGATAATAATGTTTAAATTCAATATTTCTATTGATCAGAGTTAGTAAGTATTGATTGCCAATATTGACAGAGTGCTATAGTTACTTATCATTGCGATTCCCCTTCTAAAACCTTTCTGAAGAACATCCTAACAAGTAAATATCCTTTCAACCGGAGGGTGGGCGCAGGTAAACAAGAAGCAGCGGGTTTCAGGCTAATTAAGTAGGTCCTACGGAGGATGAGTAAGTTACTGTAATGATTTGATGTCGACACGTGACCCTAGGGATTATAGACGCTCAAAAATTATTACAAAAAGTGACGATTGGATATCGATTACAATAAAATCAATATTTCACTTGTTCACACCCATTGATAACACGTTTAAACCGGTGAAAGCTGGTGTTAACACGTTGACACAGTGGCCATTGATAGGATTGGGCGTTACTCCTTTCAGTACATTTCAGTCTCCCCACAACAATGAAAAAGGGTCGGAAGAAGATTTATATGGGGATAGTCAGTGAGTTCCGATTAACTATACTAAATATCATTATAATTTATTTTTATTTACTTTTATTTTATTTTTTGTTTTATTTTTTCTTCTTTTATTATTATTATTTTTATTTCATTTATTGAAATCAATTAAACTGTAATTAAGCTAACCTTTGCCGCCTCGGAGCCGCTCTTTGCGGGAAGCCGGTTTTTTCGAAGACGGATAACCCGACCTTCAGTGAGCATTCGTTCAACGTCCGCAGCCGAACCAACCTAAGTACGCAGAAATTAAAAACATTCGGTCCATAGCGATAGAAATCAATAAATAAAATTGTTTACCTTCGAGACTAGTTTACCATCAACACTGACCACCATGTCACCGATATCTGCTCCTTCTGGAGCATAAGAAGTGAGTCCACGAACCTAAGAAGAAACTATGCAGCATTCGATAAATTAACAACAATGTAAAGAAATCTGGAACGCCGTTTTGTAGACCTTTCCATCCAATTTTCGTATTATGCTGAGCTTCTTCACAAGAAAAGCTGGATATGGAAGAAGCACAGCATTTCAGTACTCTTTACATCTCTACAATAAAGTGACAGGCGCGCGTGTGCGGCGCGACGCCATGAGTGCGTTGCGTCAGAAATGGACGCTGCCAGTGCGTCGCGTGCTCATTCAAATGACGACGAAATCGCTAACATCTAGAAATAGTTTACGTCTCGTTTTTTTCTATAAAATGATTGGCTATTTTTCTACGATAAGTAGCGCTCTGACTCATTGAAAGGTGCGGAGTAACTTCTTTCCTGCATAATTGCATATGTAACCCCGTCCAAAGTATCAAATATCACATCGGAAAAGTAAATTTTTAGCATCATCTGGCAAGCTTGATAATAGCAAACCATGTATCAAGCGTGTCATACACTATGACGTCATCTTGACGCTCCGCGCACGCACGCCTGAGTGTTTTCTTCCCCATACTCATCCCAAACAGACATGTATCAATCCTCACCTCAGCTCTGATGACTCCGTTGTCATTATAGGCATAAATAGTTAGGCCAAGCTTTGCGTGACGCTTATGAACTTCGTATTCTTCGCGTACAGACAGTTTCCAACCACCATCATCTCCACGAGTCAACTCAAATAGCTCGGGCTGGAATGCTCAATGCTCAACCATGCACCTTTTCATCTTACAAAATCTACCTTTNTTTTTTATTTTTCATACTTCATTTTTTTAAAATCTGATTTTCGATAGCCAAAATTTCAAAATAGCACGAAATGGTTCACGTTAGCCTGATCCTGCTTATTATCTCAGGTTTCCGCCTTATCTCGAAATGCTATCAGTATCGAAGGAGCTGCGATTGGTGACGTTCGCTCGTCTTCGAACAATCTCCTAGACCTACCTACCATGGGGTCAGGTAGTTGATCGAGAAAGTGGCGAAGCCCCAGGTTCCCAAGTGAAGTGAATGAGTGGGGTACCGGTACTCGACTTTTCGGTCAAGGCGACCGGCAGAATGCCGTCTTCGCCCAATCGATTCTTATCACCAAAAAAGGGCTTGTTCCATTATATTGCTACCGCGGAGTACACCAACGTTAAATTCTCCAAAATTAGAATCGATCACTCTTATAAGACTTTTTTTTATAAAACCTGCTACCAAGATGAATAGGCTCTAAAATTTATCAAATCGGAAGTAGAACATACCTGCACTGCTAGCTTTAGACAGACTTTTTCGAGCAGTTCACGAGGATTTTGATTACCATGGGAGATTACGGTAGTGTTACCATTGGGTAATTCAATACGAAATATCGAATCGGACGATGAAGACGGACAGTTCATGATGATGTCACGAGGTGCTGTTGATGAGCAGAGGGCTCGTAAGTCGCTTACTCGCACGTCAACCGACTTTCGCCACCTGAAATTACCTGAGTAGTTATTTGATTTTCAAAAACAAAAATATTTATGGAAAGAAAGGCTTCAGTAATAAAATTATTAAAGCTGTAATGTACATCCTCGCTTCTTACTTAGGAACTTTATCGAACTTCTAAGTATTTCTCTTATTTCCTTCCTCCAATTATTCCATAAATCCGGCCACTCAGTTCAATTCGCTTCTCTTCAAGTTCTCCAAATCATCCCTATATTTATTTTGGGAATATAACCGCAGCCAAAATCCTTTCAGTCCATACAGTTACTGTATAGATCAGTGTGGTACTATCCAGCCCAGCACCCGTTAAGGAAGCCCTCACTGGTAACCACNGCTTCGTTCCTAACTTTTGAACCACATGGTCAACTCAACAAGCACACGCTCAGCATTCAATAGCGTGTAACCTTGCAATCGCTTCTACAATGCCACATTGCCTCAGATTGCGCGGCGTATACAGATACTCACTCAAACCAGAAGCCACCCTCTCTGAGGACTACTAGTATGAATATCGTCAAAATCTTTTTAAACCTATTTGTGTGATAATTTGTGGCTCTGCCTAGATTTTAAAGCAACTTATTACTTTTCAATTAAAAAAAATGAAACAAATGGGGTTCACGATATACTCACATTCGAAACTCGTAGAGATTATTGTACACCAGAAAGACACTGGTCAATGGGCTGTCGACGAGAATACGATCGTTGATTCGCGACTTGACTTCGTCGCTTAAATCCTGAAAAAAAAAACAGTCATAAAATTCAAAAATAGGCTAAGACGTCAAATGCCATTTTAGTGAGCAGTTGTGAAAACGGTTCGAGAGGTTACATGCCAAAGTCATAATGACGGCATTCATGTGGGCAACAAACAAATGCCACTAATAGTAAAACCGAAGGGGAGACGATAAACGTTATCAGTAAAGAGCAACGATGACCTAATAGCTAGACTTTTGGGGTGGAGAAGAATCAGAGTCTAGAGAGCAACGTTGATATGACGGAGGAATTGTTTATCTAACCAAATAATGATTTTGCTGTTGATCCAGGGAAAAACATTCGTTTTATGTATTAGATAAACATGCAACATTTGACGTAAATAAACATCGAACCGAGTCACTTTTGAGGAAGGAATTTTGAGGAATTTGCAACACAGTCCTTTCAGGCTCCGAAGCCTCGAAGCAGGCTTAATCGACAGCAGACAGGTCTACATGGTCACTGGTGAAAGAGTTCCCAGTTTTTGGGCACATGGGAATATTCAATCCATTAACTCGGTGGGTAGTACTTGTGGAATGCAGCTGGTGATCCTACACCTGCACGTCCATACACGGCCAAACCCGAGCGAATATGGGCCAGATCTCCTATACTAGTATAACCTTTGTTATGATTTATGTATGTTCAGGGACCTTGACCCTGACTTGAGATCATCAATCACATTATTAGGAAATACTGCCCGCCCAGCACACCTCCAATAAAATTTGTAATCGTTATCAAAAAATCATTGTCTTCAACTAAATGGCGTATCCACAAGCTCACCCATATTAGAGACCTCACATTTCCGGTATTCTCTGATATAGGTCTTTCCTGATTTCAATAACTAGAAATGGAAAATATCCATAAAAAATTTCAAAAAAGATTTTTATCGGGAGAAACCTCACCTAAGTCAGTGTTCCCTGGATTGTACCAGCTTCATGCGAAATCAGGAAAATCTGTTGATAATATGATGGAGTAAAATAAATGTGAATAAGAAATTAATAAGTAATTTAATGAAAAACTGCAGATTGCAGACAACCCTCAAAATCTCCCGCAATATAACGAAATGAAGTAGCATCGAAATTTCTACTAGCCGACTGGATTAATCTATATACTTGTTCATATGAATCCTGACCAAAAAGAATTTGGTCACGCCCAGAAACTACAAGATTTAAAGGTGTGCGAAATTGAACTCGACCGCATGGGATATCGTAAAAAAACAGTCTAGTAGTTCTCTGAGTAGTAGAGAATGCAATACACACCGTCGATGTTTTCCTTTTCCAGTGGCTTACATGAGAGCGGATAGGAGAGCTTTCATGGCTACGTGCTTCGCTTCGTATGAATCGCGATATTGTTCGCCTCATTTCATGATCAACAGCACCATACGAATGCGTATTTGGTCAACGATGGAGAATAGGTTGGAGCTGACTTATCCTGCTCGAAGGCGCTACGGACTCGCACACCATTCGGAGTCGTAGAGGTGTTGGGGTAGGTAGTTGGGTTCCACTACGATCAGCTTGTTCCATAAGTTCTTCGTAGCTAACAGTTTTATCTTTCCCGAAGACACCAAAGATCTGATCCTGCGCGAGTGAAAGGGCATGTGTGAGATTCGATCCAAAAAGGAGGTCAAGTGATAGCGATGCCTATCGTCACGGAATTATCACGCGAGGGGCAAGAAGGAAATATTCAAAGCTGAGAGAGTAGAAATAATGACGTTGATCTCCTGACTTGTAGAATAAAAGGGCTAGAAGTACATGAGGAAGCCTCCGAAGAAGGGATTTAACTCATCACTGCGTCAGAGGGTCCCTAAAAGCACTAAAAGGGTCAAGCTTGTTTAAAAATGGGCAACGGTGTATTTCAGTGATACTTATATTGAGAGCATGCCAAAGAAAGGAGGACAAAGTGCTACTACGATCATTACGTTAGCAGAAGGATAGCCACGCTGAGGGACCCATCAAGTAGCTCTTAGCAACGTAACAAACAACTCTCAGTAAGTGGCTGTTGATCAATTGGGGACAGCTTTCAAGGAAAAAGCCAATCCTATAAACAAACAGATAAGTCTATAAACAAAGCTGGGCAACCTGCTAAACCCTGAGCAATCTTATTGCTATTCCGAAAACAAAACGAAAAGTAGATGTATTTCAAAACTACTTCCGTCAGCGTATCGAATCAGCTTTCGGGTCTATACCTAAGTGTAAGGTTCAGTTTGAGTACGAATCAGAAAAATTGACTCGTAGGTGTGATAGGCTGTATGGAACCGCTGCCGCTGGATACTGGACAAAGTCTACCAGGTATCCGAGACAGCTTAAAGGTGCTTACGTCAGTGAGAAGCCTGTCCTGACAATAATAGTGCCCCTAAGTTCTATAAACTTTACAGAAATAAATTTCGAGTAGGCAAGAGAATGCAGGATGGAACTAGACGGGCAAGAAGAAAAGAATTAAGTACAGCCTGCTCATTAATTGTACACCCCATAAAAACACCATTTTACGACCCCATTAGATTGGTCACAATGAAACAGTTGGTGTGTTGATGTGAACCTGTCATGAAAAGTTATCGTTGACCTGAACAGATGCTCGAAATAAGTTTGTTTTAAGCACATCTCAAAGGTGATGAAAAAATTGCCCCAATATTTCAACAGTGGTAATTTGAGCTCAACGTTATTCGAGAGGGCAATGTTTTGTTCAACTAACGAGAAACATTTTTAATTTCCATTTTCCTGAAAGGCAGAAATCCCAGAAAATAGTGAGAACAGCAAAGAATCGAACGGAACAGAATATTCCCTTGCAAGAAAAATTAAAAATAGGGCAATTGTTCTTAAGCTTTCCTTGAGCTTCTTATATCTCTTAGCTGGACGACTGGTCGCCAAGTAAATGAAATACTTTATAACTGTCAGACCACTCTGAGCCAATATTTCCAACCAACAAGTTTCCAACGCTCCTGCCCGTTATAAGCTGGAGGTGTGACATGTGAATGGGCGGGATTCATGATCTAGTGGTAATGGTAAGACAGACAAAGCATTGAATATGTTGATATCATTTTTTCGAGACATTCTGGAGAACCAAATCTGCGTCAGGGGGTTCGCTATATACAGAAAAGGAAAAAAATAATAGCAGCGAAATTATCCGAGATCAATTTAAATGAAAATATTTTATATATAAGTTTCTTGAAGCCGATATCAATCGGGTCAAAACATGCGAAACGTGCTTCTTAGATATGGAAGATTCATGGGATCAAGATAAAATAATTATGTGGATAATAGATAAGAATTACAATAATAATAGAGAGTAATATTAGTTGAATGGAGTTATAGACAACTTTATTAATGATATGTAGTAATAGATAATAATAACTGGGTAGATAACATATAATAATTCTCAATAATAATAACAAACAATAATATAAATAGAAGATAACAATTGATAGCGATTAGTGGTATCAGATAATAATCATCAATAATAGTAACAGAAAATAATGACCTGATAGATACTGGGTAATAACTGATAATAATCAATAATAATAGAAAATAAATAATAATCATTGATAGCAATAGATAAACATATTAGATAAAAATAATATAAGTTAAGATTGAGTTGGATGTGCATGAATAAATTTATAATTCTAGCATGGAAATTTCCTGTACAAGAAAATCCGCATGAGATCGCATCTCAGCCTAGATAATAGCGGGAGGCGTCGCTAAGAAGTGAAAAACGAGGTTCTCTCGGCTGTCAAAGGATTGAGCGCGGTGTCGCTGTCACAGACGTTTTTAATCTGGCGACTATCCGTTTCGCTCAGAACAGAAAAAAAACTTTCAGTTTCATTTCTCTATTCGTCTTCTATCGATTCACACCAAAAAACCCATTAGACGGAACATCCCATTGTTTTCTTCCCATTTCAAGGGAAAAATTCTTCCAAACATGGGCACTAATTCAGAACGGTAACCTTTTTCAATCACATTTCTTTTGGATATATTTAACAATGGTGACAGGAATTGGGAGTTCTGACTGAGCCCAGAAAAAAACCTAGAAAACCCTTTGGAGCATGCCATTTCTCTTGGAATTCGGGCCTCTGCTCCCGAAAAGAATTTCTCACGTCGAGGCTTACCTATGACGGAGGAGACATGATGGTGGACTATAGGTTTCAACAGCGACGGTGGAACGACTGACTTACGACAGCTCGTTCCAGGTAATTCCTACACTGTAGGTTTTATGGGGAGCCTCGGGTTCTTAAGCTGTTTGTAGAAACTGGGACTCATTGTCAGAGCGGAGTACTGTGTTGAAGCTGGGTAATGAGGGGTACAGAACCGGAATGCCAGATTCGTACAATCTGAAGTATGGATTATGCATTCCACAGCACTAGAAGAGCACAAAAAACGAATGAGACCACACAACAAAACAAGTCTGGGAACCAGACTATTTGACGGGAGCTTTGAAGATTACACAAGTTAAGCCAGCATCAAGTCAAGGAATCGATGGTAATCTACTCCCTACTGTCTCCGCATTCCCGCTGACCACCTTGCCTATTTCGTCTTTCTAACTCTGGCCATACATAGTCCTTACCTTGCACGTGAGAATATAAAAAAAAACAAAAAATCAAACAGGAAGATTACTGGCTAGGAACCTATAAAGGTTTTCAATGCAGTAATGACAGGCCAATTATGCAGCTTTGGAAGAGAAAAAAAAAAGGGATTAATGCCAGAGTCACTGCTTAGAGTACTCATGATAGTACAGAGGTAGCAATAATCATCTTTG